CTAACTAGCAAGATCAGGGTAAACCTGTTACTACCTTATGGGAAACAACCAACCTCTCCATTATCTCGGATTTGTTGCTGTTACCTAGCAGCAGGTTTAGAATAAACATGTTGCTTTTCTGTGTTCTGATTACCATTGTGATAGGCTTAATTGAGAGCCTTGTCCACCCTGCCAAGGCAAACCATGAGCAAAGACAATTATCTACAAGTTGACAAGAAAGTAAATTTGCAACCTGAATTGTATCCCCAGCCTACCTCAATTCTCTGCTTGGCAGGAAAGCCCACACCTCTCCTACTGAAGTTCCCCAGTAGAGCTGATAGCACCAGGTAAAGAGAATGTTCATGTGTCCCTCAATTTCCACACAGGAAAGGAACAGCCAGTGTGAGTTGGGAGAGGCTGGAGGCGTGCAGACTGTATGTACACTGCAGGGCAGTGAGAGGAGAAGCTGCTATGGTTGATACTTTTGCTCAATAACATTCAGTAAATACATGCTGATTGCTTCCCATGAACTGACCATGACACTCAGAAGTCCCCAGCTCTCTACAGAGACATGAATGCATTCACTCAGTAGACATGTACCAACACGGGCCAGGCCCGAGAGTTTTTCCAGGTCCACTTTAAACATGAACTGTGCCTCTCTTGCCATCTGCCAAGTTTCCCAATTATCACCCATTCACCAGGATTTGTTATTCTGAAGATTTCTACAAAATTTTCCAGTCTGAGCCGGCCTGATTCACATAAAAGCCTTGGTAATTGCCCTAATTCACTTGCACCTCCCTTTACCATTTGTGCCCTCTCTGAGCCTCCCTGAGATTCCCAGCACCACTTGGCTCATGTGCGGACAGTTTCAACCTCTGTAGCCTTCTCTTCCAGAAATTCTGCTCGATTCTGAAAGTGCCAATCAGGAGAATTTGAGGCTACAGATGTCCCTTGTTCCACTCCAAACTAGAGATTCTCCCTCAAGCTTTCTGATCTTCTTCCACTCTTATCATGCCCTTTAAGAACCCAACACCTTCAGAGATCTCTTCAAAATTCAATAATTCAGGCCTTTGTTAACTCATTCTAAATTCCACCAATAGCCACTTAGCTGTCCTCCATCATCCCAGCTCTTCTCACTCTAATATATCCTTTGTACACCTTGCCACACATATCTTCCCAAACATGTTCAAGTGCTCACTCTGAACCAGGCACCAGTCTAGGTGCCAGAGGCACAGTTATGGTCATGTAGACTAAGGGCACATTCTGTGGAGAGGGTCAGCTCTGCCACTTATTAGAAGTTACTTAACCTGGTTTCCTCATTTGGAAAATAAGGATAAGAAGGGCATGTAAATCTCATAGTTATTGAAAGACTTGAGATACCACATGGAAAGCACTAGGCACAGTGCCTGGCACACGGCACGCACTCACGCGAGTTAACTTACAGAAACAACCTCACAAGGAGCTGGCGGGCGAGCAGCAGAGATGAACATGTAGATTTCACAAGTAAGGGGTGGGAGAAGTAATATGACTTTATGAGTGTTGGGAGCAGAAAAGACTAAGTGAAATTCTGATAGTGATACAGTGCTCATGCGTGCTTAGTTGTGCCAACTCTTTGTGACCCTATGGACTGTAGCCCACCAGGCTCCTCTGGCCATGGGATTCTCCAGGAAAGAATACTGGAGTGGGTTGCCATGCCCTCCTCCAGAGGATCTTCCTGACCCAGGGATCAAACCCAAGTCTCCTGCATCTCCAGCATTACAGGCAGATTCCTTACCCACTGAGCCACCTGGGAAGCCCACTGATACAGAGTCAGACCTTAAAGATTAAAATGGAATATTCCAGGTAGATAGGAGAGGGGAAGTTTTCCAGCTGGAACACCTGAGCAAAGACACAATAGCAGAAATGGGTGACTTTTAAATGGGGAATGTAATAAAGCAATGGTCATCTCAGACTCTTGGCTAATACTGACAAGACCATGAGCTCCTTAAGGAGAGGCACACTGGCTGTGGATATAGGAAGGTCATCATTCCCTCACTCAGAACATCAACTTTGTTCCAGGCACTGTGTAGGCAAAAAGATTTTCTGCCCAGTCCATCCCGCCATAATGCTTCTATTTAAAAAGATAATAAACAAGACCATATCATATAAGTCATATGTGCTGTTAAGAAAGTAAAGCAGAATCAGGGGCTTCCCTGGTGGTCCAGTGGTTAAGACTCTGCACTCCTAATGCAGGAGTCACGGGTTCCAATCCCTGGGCAGGAAATTAAGATCCCATATGCTGCATGGTGTGACAAAAATAAATGAATAAAAACTAAAGCAGAATCATATGAAAGAGAGTAACTGTGAGTGGAGACCAAGGACAGCTACTTTGAGGAGGTGACATCTGAGTTGAGTCACAAGAAAACTTGGGTAGAAGAAAATCCACAGGAACAACAAGAACAAAGCTCTTGCAGAATGAGGAGCTGGTTGTACTGAAGAAAAAGAGAGCCAATGCAGGGGGCATGGTGAGAGAGTTGGAAAGGCTATCAGGGAGGGTGGGCAAGGCCCTGGTCATGATGAAACTTGGGAGGCCATGATAAGGTGTTTGCATTTTATTCTAAAATGCACTGGGAAGCCACGGAACGGTTTCAAGATAGGATATGACATCATCTGATTTGTGTTTTTAAAAGCTCTCTCTAGCTGCCACAGGACAAGTGGACTGTAGAAGGAAAAGCAGGAGAGAAAGCGGAGGGAACTGTCAGGGGTCAGCACAGTAGTCCAAACCAGAGGAAACAGCCTAGGTACACAGTTTGTAGATGTGATGCCTGGAATCTCTGTTTACATCGAGTACACAACCAGCTCACTTTGCAAGGTCCATCTCCCCTCCACACAGCCCAGTTGGCATACAGGAGGTTTTGTTGGTAATTTTCAATTGATTGACTTGTCTCCCCCAAATTATCTCCATTTCCTTTGCTCTTTCTATCCTCATTTCTTTCCCCCCTGTATCTTATCTCAAGTACCCATCTGCCCATCACCTGACTCAGCCTTTACAAGGTCTTGTTGTTCCCATCCTGGTTTTTTTTTCTCTCTCCTCACCCCACAACCCACGAGTTTCATGAACTAGATGTAAAAGATATAATTACTTTCTGTCCTACCCCAGAAGCACTCAGGAATTATCAGTTTCACAGAGCACCAACAGAAGCCTGGGGGTTATTATGATCCTGACAATACAACTGGAACACATTCTGCATATTAAGGACACTGTCTCCCCACATTCGTTCCAGCCTGTTCTCCCCACTGCAGCCAGGAAATCTTTCAGGAGGAGAATCTGATCATAATCTCATTGGCGCTCATTCTCTCTCTGGCTCCTCTCTCTCCTGCTCTCTGTATGCTATGACCCTGGAGTACATCTCACACCATTCACCTCTTTGCTCCCTGTGGCTCCAGCCACTCTGGCCTTCTTTCAGATCTTTGAACCCGATGGGCCCCCTCTGCTGTTCTCTTTGTCTCCAAAGCCCTTTGATCTCCCTCTTCCCTCAGTTGACACTTATTCTTTAGATCTTTGCCCAAATTTTCTTCCTTAGCAAAATCTCTGATCTGAGACCAAAGCTGGAACCATTGTGATACACATTCACAGCACTGCATATCTTTCTTTCTAAGCACTCACCACAGTTTATAATAATACATTTATTTGTGTGACTGTTTGATTAAGATGATTATACACACACACTAAATGGGAAACTCCAGCAGGGCAAGAACATTGCCTATTTTGCCCATCACTGTATCACAAACATAAGCTGAATATATTCTTTGTAGACCTTAGGAGTATTAGATATGGAAGGATTTCCCAAAATCACAGATATTGTTCCTTTTTTTTGATGGAGCAAGCAAAAGGAATTATGGATCACCTAGTAGTAAACTACTGCCAGAAGAGGAGTGAGCCAATGATACCCATTTTGCTACAAACTCAAAGAAGAATTTTCTCTGTCTCTTTACAAAAACTATCCTGACATCAATGTGGCCCTTGTTTCAAGACCTGTCATCCTTCTGAGTAGGTCCATCATTCTCTTCACAGCCCTCCACTATGTATCTGACCTCCCTTCAATATCTCTTTGCAGATCAATAAGCATATCATCACCTGATGGACACAGAAAAGGGGGGAGTGAGAAGTCAATGAGTTATCTCTCCTATACTGGTTGCCACATCACTTCACAAAGCCCCTTCCCAAACAGCTGCTCATTTAGTTCTCAAAACCACCCTGTGAAGTAAGCAAAGCAGGTATTCTTATCCCTGTTTTACAAGATGAGGAAATGTGATTCAAAGAGGCAAGTGACTTACTCAAGGTCACAAAGCCCATGTGAGGCGGTGTAGATTTGAACCTACAGTCTCTGACGCCCAGTCCAATGCTTTACCTTACATTAGCCACCCCAACAGTTATCAGTTTCTTAAACCTGTTTTTTCATTTCTTTAAGTAAACACCTGTTCCTGACCCCTCAGCACTTTTCCAGCCTCTGTCCACTTCGCTATCCAGAACTTGTCAGCCCATCTGTGCCATGGAATATAGGGAGTTTTATGCACACAAACAAGGCTAAGCGTTTGGTCCCAGCCTCCAGTCTTTTCCAGCTCTTCCTCTGAGCCAGTAAGGAACCAGAAAGCCCCATTAATAAAACACAAAGAGACCTGCCCCACCAGAGCAAGGTCCCTGGCTATCCTTTCTCCCACGTTCCAGCAGGACGCGAGGCCAGAAGCCAGCCTCTTTCCTAGCAAGGAAGACCTGAGCAGAACAGAGGTCACCGGCCACGGGCCGTCAGGGCTCCTCAGCTGGCCACGCAAAGGATGAGGCTCCCGGTTTGGCCCAAGGTCACCCTCTCGCAGCCCGGGCCCGATCCCCGACCGCCCGGAGCGCCCCCTGGTGTCGCGGGCTGGCCTCCCCTCGCCCTTAGGGAGTGGCCTGCGAAGCCCCGGCTCGGGGGCAGAGAAAGGAGGGTGGGCAGAGGATGAGGAGGCTGAGCCCCTGGGAGGGGCGGGAGGCGGGGCCCTACCTGATAGCTGAGGACGCCATCCGGATCGTTACTCCCGGCCGGCATGGCGGAGTCCAACTAGGTCTCGCCCGCGGGGTCCAGGCCGAACGTCAGCAGGCCACGCACTCCGGTCGGGTTTGAGCAGATCGCCCGAGCGGCGACCCCTACCCCGGTGCCAACGGTCAACCATCAACCGCCGCCGCCTCCATAGCCACCGGCCCGCGAGGCTTCGCCGCAGCCAATCAGCGCGCGGCCTGTACGGCCAATCAGGGCGCGGAGCACAGGAGGACGCTGTCCGGCGGTACCCTGGGCTACCAGGAGGTGGAGGAGGGAGCCGGGGGAGCCAGCGGCTCTGGGGCCCGGTTGCCGTGGAAACCGCCTCCCTCCCTTCAGGGGCCTCTGGGCTTGAAGGTCCTCCCAACTGCTTGCTAGAAATTGAAGATCTCCTGGTTCTATTTGAGGATGCACCTGACCCTTGAAAACTGAGAAAGTGTCGGGATTGTCTATCGTGATTTTATTCCTTGGTAATAATTATTTTTAAATTCTGGGGAACCATCCCTTGAGCTTGCAGAAGGAAGTAACAGAATGAGAGGGAAGGGCCTTCTCAAATTACTTGTTAATCCTCGAGCTAGTGGCCAGATTAAATAGTATCAAAGAGAAGCTGGCAGGCAGTGATCCAATCCCCTCCACAGACTGACTACGATACAGGTCTTCTCCCTGGGCCTCAGGTTGGCAGTGAAAAGCACGGGGTTGAGCTAAGGAAGATGGTTGAAACAGTTCCACAAAAATGCTTCCAACTTTTCTGAGAAATAATCTAGGGCAAATTATTTAACAAAAGAATAACTACTGATTTAAGGCAAAGTTAGAAACCCATGAGTAACACATTCAATTTAATTTGGGTTTAAAACAAGAGAGACTGGCCATAATCCAACCAGTCCTTTGTCCCCAAGAGGAGGAAAGGGGTCTTTTCCTTTATGTCCACTATCACATCAGATGGTAGGAGAGTCCACATTATTAAAAGAAAAAGAGCAGGTGCAAATCATTCTCAGCCTCCGAAGAAACTACACTTGGGGAGTATAGCCTGACTGGTGCACATTAAATGTTCAACCCCTGCATACCATTGCTTGCACTGGCTCTGAAATTTGAACCAAGTTTGTGATTCCATGTCCCTGAGACAGAACTTCCTCAGTCTTCAATTTAAGGTCTTGGGCCCATTTTTGTGTCTTAGTGTTCATTTCCCCAGTCTCTGTTGACCTCTTCACTAATTCTGTCCCTTGAATCTGTAATTCACCCCCATTTTTGTCCATCAAAACCTTAATCATACTTCAAAGTCAACCTCAAAGGCCACCTCTTCCAAGAAACTTTATTCTACTCTCCTCAATACCCCTAAGAGATGTCATCACACCCCTTTGAATCTTCATAGCACTTCATACCTTCCTTATAGCAGTCACCAGGCTATGGTCAAGTACTTTAATTAAATGTTAACTTTAGCTTACTGTAACACTGTCATTTTCTGAAGGCAATAATTATTTTTCTTATGCCCGTCTGTACAAAGTCTCAAAGAATGCTGGGCACATAGAACATAATTATAAATATGTAAGTTATATAAGTATATATAAATAAATATAACAAATATATAAGTGAATATATGTACTTTTAATTCAGTCTAACCAAAAACATATTAAACACAAAATACAAGCCCAAACAGCACTGAAGATGCAGCAAAATCTAAAATAAAATATGTATCTCCAGAGGGCTTATGGTCTAATCAGGGAAAGAGGATATACACTAAGATGATGGCAAGATAACAGAATATAAAACAATAGCCATATGAGTAATATAGGCAACAAAGGTTATAAAAATTTAGAAGAGAAAAGGTTAATATGATGACAAAATAATAGAACATAAAACAAGAGCCATATAAGTTATATACACAACATAGATTATAAAAATTTCCAAGAGAAAATAATTTTTTTTTTACTTGGAACATGACACAGAGGACATTGGTTTGGGTTAAACCCAAAAACAGTCAAGCCAAAGTAAAAAGAGTTATCTTAGTTCTTAGGGAACGACTTAGCAACCAGGAAAGCATAAGACCCATTCAGGATAGACACAATTTGGACCAAAGCAGAAAGGAATGGAGAAGAGCAGTAGGAAATAAAAATTGTGGTAAAGAAAAACAATGACCAAGTTACAAACAGCTAATCAGTTCAGACTTTTTTTCTCATATGATAGAAAATATGATCCTGTTGAAAATTTTAAAGAATTTGTCCACACACCAGGACCTGGGTTTAGTGGTGTAAATGCATATGTCATTTAATACTCCTAACACTTCATAGTTTATCCATTTCACTGGTAAGAAAACTGAGGCTGAGAAGTTTAGCAACTTTCTCAAGGTTAAGTAGTTATTAGGCTGGGATATGATCACCTCCTGAGCCTTGCAATCTAGTGGAGAAACAGCAAACAAGTAAAAATGAACACAATTACAGGTTATGAGAGCTGCTATGAAGTAAACTGCGAAGTTATGTGATAGAGTATTGCCCAGTGGGGTGGAGAGAGCTACTGTAGATGGGATGGTCAGGGAGGGCTTTTCTGAGGAAGTGAGGAGAGTCTCATTTGATGAGTCAAGGATGAATCTGTCCAATTTTAGAGCCCCTGGCCACTATACGACACTGTCCTATGTAAGTGGTACCATTGGTGAAACCTGCCATTGGGGGCAAGGTGGGTTAGAGGGAGGAAGCTGAGGCAGGGGGTCATTTAGGCTGACTGGCAACATGGCAGTTCTAGGGCCAAGGATGGTGACCAGAAGAAAGATGTGCCCTCCATTTGCCACTCTCTAAAGAGCCAGCTCCTGTGGTGCTCTCATGAGAGTGGGCATGAGTTGTCAGGGCGTAGAGAAGAAGCAGGAGGGAGAGGATTACTACTAGGAGCTCTGCAAGTCTGATTTGACTCCAGTTCAAATGTGGAAAAAGTCAGAGCCTCTGGCTCTTGACTCCAGGGTCAAGAGCCCCATCTTCTGGTCTGTTGAGCAAATTACAAAAGGAATTGGCTGCAGAGGCGGCCGCGAGACTGCTCTGAGGCAGCTGTCTGTCTGCAGAGACAGGCTCTCCCCTCCCAGCGCTGTTTTGTGTCCTCCTTCCCAGAGAAGGCGAGCTCGTTGGCTCCAGGCCCCAGGCACTAGGCTGCCGGCACCTTCAGCTCTCTACACAGCTTGGAAAGGAGCAAATATGCCCCTCTCAGCCTAGCCAGCAAAGAGCGGCAGAAGGAGCTGGAAGGAGGAAGATATTCAGCCAAGGACACCACCTCACACTGATTATTCTTCTAAAGAAAGTGGGGGTTGGGCGGGAGGGGTGGCGCAGAGAGCCCAGCAAAACAGAACTCAGAAAATTCTGAGGCCTGCACAGAATTCTTGGAGGAGGAGACATAAAATAGACAGGAAAATGCAAAATATGGGTAGAGACAGAGACCACTCCCCCACACACACATATACATACACACACACATCTCACAGGGAAGCAAAGACGCTTGCAACAACTCTGTGAGGTAGGTTCTATCTCCTCCATCATTCTACAGATGAGAACACTGAAGACTGAGGCTTAGAGATGTAAGCTACCCCAGTTCACACAGCAAGCACGGTTTATAAATGGAGACCCTGAGTCTGAGCTCAGAAGTACCTCATTACAGAGTACACACACTTACCCGCCTACTGCCTCCCATGGCGCTGCCTGGACCTTAGTCCTTCCCTAACTTTAAAAGCTCCACCCTCTCTTTGTGACTTCCAAATGTGGCTATTTCCCCATCTTTGTCTCTAGATCCTTCCTTTCTCTAATACTAGTGTTCTTAAACTTTGGTGGGGAGAGGTTAGGTCTTGAGCCTCTGGGGACATGATAAAATCTGTGGGACTCTCTTTTCAGGTAAGTAGACAAAGACCCAAATTTTGCATCTCATTGTAAGGATGTGTTCACAGCCTGCCCAGGGAAACACTAAACACCTTACCTGTATTATTTTTAAATACTGGCTGGAAAACATTGAGATTCTCTCATTCAGAGACAAAAAAGGCAAGAAACACAAGTTACTCAAAAGGTCTGAGGAAATGTTCTCACATAATTGCAACCAATTTTTCCATCAAAAGCATCTTAATTTCTCCATCCATGTACCATGTTTCTTGCCCAACTTAAACTGTCAAAAGAGCTGCCAGTACAGAGGTTTTAGCCTTTACTTGCTATTAGGTAGTGCCCAATCCCAGCTGCATCTTATACCTGATTTGGTTTCTCCACATTCCTCTTAATTATACATCAAAAACCAAGGAAAGGTCGGAGGAAAAGACGTCAGGATTTGAAGAAAGACTTAATTAGGGCTTGTTGTGCGGTCGTCTGGTAGCATTTCCTGTGAAGGGAGCCGGGGAGCCGTAGAGAGATACTATTCTTTGTCAAGCTGAAAAGGTCATCCAGGTGCATGGTATGCAGTCAGCCCTTGCCAAGTCACAGCATTTCTAGAGAGACTACAGAATACAGTTTTCTTTGTTCACAGCCGGCTGCCAGCCTGGGACACTACACATCATACAGAAAAACAACAAAATGCTACACAAACTGACTCTGGCCTGCGAAAAATCACTCTCTCTCCATTCGTCATCATCAACATCATCCATAGAAATCGCCTATACTGGGGAATTCCCTGGTGGGTTCAGTGGTTAGGACTTGGCATGTTCACATCCACGGACCTGGGGTTCAATCCCTGGTTGGGGAACTAAGATCACACTAGCTGTGCCACATGGCCAAAAAAGCTTTTAAAAAGAGCACTGGACTTCCTTGGTGGTACAGTGGCTAAGAATCTGCCAGCCAGCGCAGGGGATGCAAGTTTGATCCCTGGTCCAGGAAGATTCCACATGCCATCGAGCAACTAAGCCCGGGCACCACAATTACTGAGTCAGCACTCTAGAGCCCGAGTGCCACAGCTACTGAAGGAGTCTGTGCTTAGAGTCTGTCCTCCACAACAAGAAAAGTCACAGCAATGAGAAACCTGAGTACCACAACAAAGAGTAGCTCCTACTAGTGATAACTAGAGAA